GGCCAAGGCAGAAATTCATTTTAAAAGATATTTACAAAAATGCATTTGATCCATATGTACTCGGGAAGGAAAATCTTGAAACTCAGTTATATATTTGGTGAAGAATAAGTAATAATTTCTCCAAGCTATAAACAATAAAAACATTATTAAGAAGAATTTTAGATTCAGAGAAAAAAGGATCAATCATAGCAATCAAACTTGTTACTTCCAGCCATTAAATAACCTCTTTCAGGGATTAGAATAAACTTTTTTTGGTGCACAGAATACCAGTCAGATGGATAGGAGATTTTCAGCTAACCCTCAGGTCCAGTAAAATCACAGCTCAGATTGGCCATAAGTACATCTGGGCCATACAGTCTCTGTGAAGACCACTTAGCTCACACTGACACCTGAAGTATGACAAAGAGATCGGACTGTAGAACTAAAGGGTTAGGGAGTGAAGATGTGGCAAAGTTTATTAAGAAAGAGCTGCAAGAACTCATGACACAAAGCCACTGTTTTCAGCTTCAATGTAAGGTACATGGGGCCAACTTATAGACCCATGAACCAGTCACGAGCTGGCCAAATTGTTCACCTTTCACTTAGCAACTTGTCTGAGCACCTTTCAGGGCAAGGTACTTCGTGAAGCCTGTGGATTGACACTAACTGGCTGTCCCCTGAGTTGTGTTGCCCTCGGACTCTTTAGATTCTCCCAACATTCAGAGAAAAATGTTACTAATGACACTGGCTAGGTGCACAGAAACACCATTTAAAATGAAAAACAACCAACAACAACAACAACAACAAAAAAACAAGCTCACTCAAGAACTAGAGCAAGGTCCTTAGAGAATCTGTAAGACAAAAATAATCATTTCTTCACGTGCTTTTCTCAGAGATTCACAACAGAGTAACAAAAGGTAGAAGAGGAAGAGACAAACAATTGTCTTCTCTCACAACCAGAAAAATTACAGGAGACTTTTCTCAGTTGTCTGGGTCAGAACTTCCATGTTTTCCTTTAAAAGGTTATTCCTTTACAGCAGCTTTCATTGCCAGACATTTTTCTTAATTTTCACCTTAACCTTATGATCTTGTGCACCTTTAAATGTCAGAGAGAAAGGCTGTGGGGGATGCTTTGTTTGAGAACAGAGTGTACCACACAAGACCCATCTCTTCTATGAGTCTTCACTCTGAATACAGAAGCATTCCTGATCTTAATCTTTGGATTTAAACACCAGCTTCCTGCCTGTGCCATTTCTCCTCTCCCTCAAGATATGCAGAGCTTCAGACATCATTAAAGAAAGCTTAGGGCCTGGAATATGTAATCCTTTGCTATCTGGCACTCTGTATTTGGTAGGGTTTAAGTGGTGTTAAATGAAACATATGTTTACATGATGAGAATGAAGGATTCTGGGAAGTGATCCTGTTTAAAAATACATCAGAAATCAACTGCTGTACCCATAGTTTGGATGCCACGAACAGAGCTTATCAAGCAGCAGAGAGAAATGTGTCAGAATTGAGAGATTCTTTAATCCCCTGAACTTTGTGGAAAGGCCATATCCCAACTTTGAATGATATGTCTGAGAAGCATGGCCAATCCTGAAGGCAAGAGAGCCACTGGAGACATAGTATCCTACAGACATGATGGAACTGAGAGCCAGTCCTACATGGGAACTGTGCACAAGTTTTCTGGGAGATGAGGTGGGTGGGTTTTTCTTCCCAGAACTAGAAAAAACACACACAGTGGGATGAGAAAAACTTGATAAAAGATATGAACACATAAATGATGAGGGGCAGAATATAGCCCTGACTACACTGCTCCTTTCCCCCAGCTTGAGGGCCCTACCCACTTCCTAATTTATAAAACCAAGGTAAACATAAAGGCACTTTCCAGAAACTCCTCAGGCCAGCAAGATGGGAATGGACATGAGCACTTCAAATCAAATGTTACTTTTTCAGGGTTCCAAGTCTCCAATAATCAACAACAACTTTCTGGTCATTTACAGTTTGCCCCAAGTGCTGCTCATACTTGCTTTGAAAGACTGGAGACCTTGGTGGAAGATGGCACATGATGATGTCTGGGAGGTGGAAGATGTTGGAGATTACAACAGGAATTAAGGTAGCAGGTGCAGGGTTGTGGTGAGGAAGCAAGGATACTCACAGTGTGTGTGTGTGTGTGGGGGGGGGAACGCTAGCAAAAAGTGAGCCTCCTCTTTGGGAACTCAGGACCCTATCTTGTATAACCAGGTATGTAGATGAGCAGGCTATTTCATACCGGAAGCTATTGCCAGGCCTCAACATACTCTCTCAGAAGCGTTGGCTACCTACTTCCTTCCCTAGGAAAGCTGAAAACCAAGACTGTGCCCACAGCTGACGGTGGCTCTTACTATGAGGGAAGATGCAGTATTCCCACAGAAGCAGGTCATTTCTATTCCTATGGGAAGGACAACTATCCTCACCTCACAGATACAGAGAATAACCCCAAGTAAACAATTAGATACTCAGAACATTTTCGAACCTTGCCTCCTGACAGAACTGGAGTATTGTTTCAAATTCCAGGTCTCCATGTCCAGAAATTCAACAAGTCTGCAACCGAGTAGTATCAGCCCCCACCCCCTCTCTCGCCATACTTTACAACTGTGTGTCTTCACCCATTTGTTCATTTGGTGCCAGACATTGGGTACAGGAATATAAATAAGACACTTTCTCAAGGAGCTCACAGTCTAGTTGGAGAAACAAACGCATAAGCAGACAACTGTAATAACTGAAGCATGATTAGTCCTAAGCAGAGACCACATTCAATGAATCCTATTAAACAATGATCTCCAGTAGCCCTCGGTAGCAAATAAAAGACAGGAAGAAGACTGCAGGACACCTCTGCATGGCTTTTAGATCCTGAACGTATTATACAGATTTTGAGATGTAGTAGTATGCTCTCAGACCTAGTACTGTAATTACAGTCAACATCACTGATCAACGAAGAATTGTTCCTTATATTGTATTACGGGTAAGTTTTAGCTACCCAAATAAACAATTAAATGTCTTGAGGGCAGGTACCATGACATATTTCTTTAATCTCTATAGCAGAGGTCGCCAGCCTTTCAGACCTCACAGACCACCAGTGATCTGCGGACCACCGGTTGGCGACCGCTGCTCTACAGCACCTAAGACTACCCTGGGCACAAAGTAGCTGCAAACACTGATGTTCTTGGTGAATGCAACAAGGAGATGAGACTCTTGGTAACTTGTTCCTCTACAAAGGTTTGTAGATTGGCAGATGTGGAAGGTTCTGTAAAGGACAACACTGCCCTACCTCATCCCATTACTGTCCACTGCACAAGCCATCTGCTCTATCTGGCACATTAAGGGTTGGGGAAGGGAATCCTTTTTTTCTGGAGGGCCAGAAAAAAAGACAGTATAATGTGGGTAAATGGCTTGGTAGTTCATTGCAATAAACAAAAAGACGAATTTGACACTAAAGTCCCCTGGCTGATGCTTAGGATAGAAATAGAGCCCAGATTTCTTAAACCTGTTACATTAATTCTAGCTTTCAGAAATGGACCTGCCATTACAATGACATAAATTAAATCCCACCCTCACTTGCTTAAGAGCCTTCAATGGCTTCCCATTGTACTTAAAATAAAATCCACCTCCTCTGTGTGGTTGGTAAGGCCTTCATTCTGGTCTTGTTCACTATACCAATCTTAACTGGCCTTGCTCTCCTCTCACTTACCAGGCCCCAGCCACAACAGCTTCCTTGAGGTTTTCAATATGCCAGGCCCTTTCCTGTACTAGGCCCTTAGACCTGCTTTTCCTTCTCCCCAGGCCCTCTGCCTGCTCTTAAATGGCTAACTCCATCTCATCCTTCAGATCTCAGCTCAAATATTTCCTATTCAGAGAGGGCTTTCTTGACCATCTTATCCAAAATGACCCCATCTCATTTCTTTTGCTTATTAACATACCAACCAGTTAATTTACTTCATAGCACTTCCCATACTCTGAAATTATCTTGTTTGGCTCCTTGTTAATTACCAGTATTCTTCTAAATAAAAAACTCCCAAGACCAGGAGCTGGATTTATCTTGCTGAATCAGCAGGCATACACTAGGCACTCAAATATTTTGAGTGAATGAATGAATAAGAATTAGGAAAATACAGTGGCGGTAGGTGAGTAGGCACTGAATTAATGTGAAAAACATCAGTTTTCCTACTGTGAAGCTAGGAATTGTTGTCTGACATTTTATTTTATTTTACTAGGGTATATTCAAGGAGCAATAACATACAAAGAAAAATGAAAGGAGAGTCTAAGCCCACTGATGACAAAGAGAAATGTCAAAAGAGAAAAATCTTAAAAAAAATAAAATAATAATAATAATAAAATAAAATAAAAAATTAGAACATAATCTTGCTGGTTCTAGCTTCCACTCAGTTTGTAATGAACATTATTAATGTTAGAAGCAAGTTTTACTATTCTTCTAACAGATTCCAAAGTTGGTTTCATTTCTCCCTGAGTAATGCAGTTCTGCCCCCGGCTCTGCAACAAGCCATCTAAGTCTCACTCAAGCACATCCACACTCAGGCCAGCCTAGCGGACCTGAGAATCTCACTCTAAAAAACCAAAACACTCTTGTTGTTTCAAAACACCAGGCAGAAAAGTCTGAACACAAAGCAAATCATTTGTGCGAAGTAGGTTCTTCCTCACAATAATTCAGCTCAAGATCTGCTCCTCCAATAAAGGGAAGTGTTACAGGGCGTGTAAGTGTGACCCTTTCAAAGGTGCATTCAAAAGCTGATGCTGACACCATCAAAACTACTGCTGTTGGTTTCACTGAACTCAAATCAATTAGGGCAGTTACCTTCACTCTTAGCGATGCAAGTCCTGAACTTGGAAAAACACAAGCAAGAGAAGTGAAAGATGAAACCTGTTGCCCCTGTTCTCTGCTGGGTGCCGCCTGTGGCATGCTGCGTACACACAATTATGTCCTAAAAGCAGCTCCATCAAACGCTGAAAGGGAGAGTACTTACGAGGCATGATCCCTTGGCTCACCAGCTCTTCCCGTGTCCGCCGCTGCTGGAGCTTCAACTGCAGCACTGCAGGGCAGCAAAGAGAGAGAAGAGATGAAGGCTCAGTAGGGCATTCCACCACAAAAGACACATTTTCAAATGCAAAGAAAGTCTCCAAACAGAAGAGTGTAGTGTAAAAGAAGGATCCCCTTGAATTGTGACTGTAATTGCAGAAGTGGCCTGATACAGCAGGGTTTCCGTATTCTGCTGTGGGCGGCGAGAGGAAGTTGCAAAGGGTCTTGCAGGGCGATAACAATCCACAAAGTACCAAACTCTTGCTCAAAACCTCCTACAACACTGTCCTCTCAAGGTTGAAAACACACGCAAATGCTTAACACAAAGACAATATGAGGACCTCTGCCCAGCAGAAAAAGCTTCCCGGATATTCTACACTCTCTGCCCAGTAACAAATGTTTACCACCATAAATAAAGTGAATGATACAGTTATTCACACAGATCAGGAAGTATTGGTAAGATCTTTTCATCTAAAAATCATACCTATTTTCACCAGAAAATATTTTACCATTAATATAACTCTTTTCTTCCTATTCACTTAGAGCATTTTCTGTTGAGGTGAAACACCAACCAACTAGATTAGTGGTCGGCAAACTGCAGCTCGAGCGCCACATGCGGCTCTTTGGCCCCTTCAGTGTGGCTCTTCCACAAAATACCACATGCGGGCGCGCACGTACAGTGCGATTGAAACTTTGTGGCCCATGCACAGAAGTTGGTTTTCGGCTCTCAAAAGAAATTTCAATGTTGTCCTGTTGATATTTGGCTCTGTTGACTAATGAGTTTGCCGACCACTGAACTAGATGATTAAAAGCACAGAGGCTATGGGTGGGTGACAGGTGTTTCTCCTATTTCCATTCTGGCAACACCACTTAATTGGACAACTTATTAGGAATTTTTTTAAACTTAAAACTCAGTGATCTATATTTTAAATGCCAATGAAACCTAAAGGGCATTATCACTGCACACCATGCAGAATGATGATGCATGTCATGGCCTGCATTCAGAGGCTAGTGAGAAAATGTTCAAAAATTTCACAGAAGAGTCCCATGGGCCAAGAACAGTACCCTTACATGATAATTCTTTAATTTATAAGGTCCCTGCAAGTCACACGTGAGAGGGACCTGCCTCTATTAGGAACCATATTACCCTAATATCTGTCTTTTCCATCCATAGAGCCCTTTTTAAGGCCTTCAACATTCATAACTAGGCTTCTGACTAGATCTCAAATCTAACAGGCCCAAAGTAGAACTTGTCTTCCTCCCAAAACCCTAATCCACTTCTATTCTTTTTCTCTGTGATGGTATCACCATCATTCCCAGTACTGTATTAAAATTTCTGAGCCACTTCATCTCCTTCCCCTCTGCAACTCTATTTTATAAAGTTGATTGCGCTGTTTTTCCCTTGTTGCAGTATTAGCTCACTGGCTTGTGTCCTTCCTTGTGCTGTGTGTCTTCCTTCTAAGTCACCCCAATGAAGGTTGTCCAATTTACTCTTGGGTACCATGCACTTTTCCAACTCCTTATTCACTTCACCTGAAAAGGTCTACCCTCTTCACCTGACTTCCCAACTCATTCCCCAGCATTCAGAATTAGCCTATACCTACTGTGAGCTACTTCTTTTCTTTTTTTTATTTTTTAAAGTTTTCCTTTTTTTTTTTTTAAAGATACATTTTTTTCTTTATTTTTTAAAAAAAATTTTTCCTTTATATATTTTATTGATTTTTTACAGAGAGAAAAGGGGAGAGACAGAGCGCCAGAAACATCGATAAGAGAGAAACACCGGCCAGCTGCCACCTGCACACACCCCCACCGGGGATGAGCCCGCAACCAAGGCACATGCCCTTGACCGGAATCAAACCCAGGACCCCTCAGTCTGCAGACCGGCGCTCCACCACTGAGCCAAACCGGCTTCGGCCCAAAGACATTTTTCAAGATCACATGGCCAGTGAGTGACAGCCTGAGGTGAGACCCAGGCCTGTTCCACCATTCACAAAGCTCACCACTGGACAGGGACTCGGATGAGACATCTTCCTTTAGAAGGAACTGACCGGCCTCCATCATCACATCTGCCCTGGGGAGGCACCACAGCCTCCCTTGGCGACGGTTCCTGGGAGCCAGTGCAGCACGGCAGGAAGGTGGGCGTGAAGGGGAGACGGGGCGGATGAGTCCGGGGAAGGATGGGCCCCTGGCACTGACGGCTTTGTTCGTGGCAACATTATGCCCAGACACCGAATGGTCTTTGGGTTATGATTGGTAATAGTATTATATTTCACAAGCCAATAGCACACAGGATCATGTCTCTTAATAAACCAATAAAGAAGTAACATTCTCCAAAGCAATGCTAGATGGAGGGCATGACTGTCCCAGGCAAAGGGGCGATGAAAGAAACGAAGCCCAAATCGCACTGAGGTGTGACTCTCTGCTGGCTGGTTCTCGGAGGAGTCGCTTCGCCAACCAGGAGCTGACCCCCGGCTGCCAGCGCTCATCCCTAGTCCCTGGTGCGAGAGCAGAACAAAGGTGCCCTGAGCAGCCTTGCCCACGGCTGTGTGAGCTACTTCTTATTTGACATAAAAGATATAGTAATATTTTGCCCTGTGTAATTACCCTCTGAATATATTTTCTCTCTCTTGCCAGTTTATACACCCAGGAAATATATCTTATTAATGTAGTATGCCTTCTCCCAATAGCACTTGATACACCGTAGGCATTTAATAATTGTTTCTTAAATTGAACTGAATCTCAAAATGATGCTACATACAGTCTAAGAATCAGGAGGTTATAGCTATAATTATATGTATTTTTTCTTTTTTTCTTTTACAAATTAACACTGTTAAAAGCAAAGCCTTGTAGAATAAAATAGGTATAAACAGCAATAGCCACTCTAGTAGCTAATATTTACAGGCTATATGTTCTGTGCCAGACACTGTTCAATGTACTTTCATGTTTTAACTTGTTTACTCTTCAAAACCCCCTATGGCAAGAGGAATATTATTAATCCTATTTTACAGAAAGGAAAATGTGGCCCAGAAAAATTAAGTAATTAACCTAAGGTTATCCCATTAATAAGAGGTGTAACAGGATTTGAACCCAAGCATTCTGATTCCAGACCCTGGGCTCCTTACTCTCTGCTTCTCCAGGGTCTTCTGGAACCCTGTGCTGTTGGGATAACAGGCATGGAATGTGACCACCTGGGTTCATTCTCTGGAGAGAGAGACAAAGGGTCTGAGGAAGAGACCCTTTGTCTCTTCAGGTCAGGGTCAAAGAAATTTGGGTGATCAACTTCAATAAAACAAATTTAAATGAATCTAGGAACTTGATTTCAGAATAAAGTATAGCCATAGATAAGTAACAATAACAATTATAATAAAATACAAATAACAATAATAGTTAGTGTTGCTGAGACAGTCCTGTGTTAAGTAACTGATAGGTTTTTAACTTATTAAAAAAAAAAAAAAAAAAAGGCCCTGTGACTCTAAAAGTGTGGGCACTTAATACTAACTAACCCATATGAAAGCGAAGTTCCAGGCAAGATAAAGAGGCGGGAAAAGAGCAAATATTTGTCATTTTCTATAGTATGTCTAAGGCCACTGTAAGATAAGCTATTAGAAAAGTATAAAATACAAGAAATTAATTTGATTTCAGAGAACATGAAAATCTAATGTAATTCAGTAAGTCTGAACACCTCAAAGAAATGAGAACTAGGGCTGTTGGCCAAGAATAATTTTGAAATATCAATCAGCAACCCTCCTAAAAAAAAAACCAAAAAAAAAAAACCCCAATCATATACAAATAAGGCTACGGGAATATTTTATGAAAGCTTCTGGATTAAAAAATTTCTTGCTTCATGAAAGCAAAATTTTGAGTCCATGGTTCAAGTTTTTTTAGGAAGAGCAAAGTAAAAATCTTTTTAAGCTTCATATTTTAAGAACTCTAGTTCAAAGAGAAAAGTTTACTGAGTAAAACTTTTCCATCTCTAAAACTAAATGAAATTAAAGTTTAGTTGTTTGAAAATTCCATCTTGTCCCTCTCAGTGGGTTAACTTGGGTTAACTCCAAATTCCATGCTTATCTGAAATCTGACCAAGTTCCCCATTCAAATAACAGAAGTTGCCCTGCATCAGTATTATCTTGGGTATCACAATTTGATTGTAGGTATGTTCTGTTTTATACATTGCATAACCCTCTCCTATTAACTCTATCTTTATAAGGAAGGTGAAAAGACTTAAGCAGTAAACTCAGAATTATGGTAGTCGACCTATATTTTATTTTATACTTTATCTGATTGCCTCTGAGTGTGTGTGTGTGTGTGTGTATACATGCAATGATCCTTTTTCTAAGATTTCCACTACAAAGAAATGAATATTTACATAAATATCCCATTTCTTTAATATATCTTACTTTCTCTTAAACACTAAATAAAATGCTTTTATGTTTCCAGATCTTAAGGATTATTCATTTAAGAAGAAATCATTTAGTAACTTTCAGTAAATAACATTACAAGGCATATGCTCTGTATTAGCTGCAGAAGGTACCCTAATCAGAAGTATATTTCAGAATTTAATGCACACATTTAATGCACATCCATCCTCACCAAGAATTACCTAACACTAGTTCAAATTAATATTTTTACAGATAGTGCTAGACTAAAGATACAAAAAAGTAAGAATTCATCAAAATCTCTAACATACATCAACAGTTTTCTTCTCCATTCCCCAAATCAATAAAAACTAAACAAAAATACCTACTTGTGTACAAGTCTATGTTCACGTTATTGAATTCCACAAGTTTAATATATCACCTGTTTCTAAGTGGTTCTGTGTGAGCAGCCTATATATAGACGAGCAGATGTCTTTAAAGCTAGTGGATGGTAGGTAAATCAACTGAATTGCCTGCCAGAAAAGGATTGGAATGAAAAAAAAAGAAAGAAAGAAACTGGACCATAAAGTGGAAATAATAGTTTTCCACCTGTTTCAAACAAAAGCGATCAATTGCTATTTGAATAATTGGCTACTTT